TACTACGCCCATAGGTTTTCGCAAATATTACGATTAGTAAATATTGCGAAGTACTACGCTAAAAACATAAATATTGCGTAACCTTACGCTGTAATATTTGCATAAGTTTACAAATTGTAAATCTTACGCAATACTTCGCATTAAAAATATTCCTGATGTAGCATGATTTACTCTTGATCTAAATAGAAATCGGTTTAAAATGTATACGTTTCAAATATCATATTTGTTTTAAACTGGTTGAATATTAGTTTATTATTAGTTTAATATTGATTCTTAACTCTTGCTTCTTTTCAAAAGAAAAAATAGTTACCTTGGCTAATCATTATATCTAGATATGCTAAAAAAATATTTTAGGAAAATTTTTTTTGCTTTCAAATAAATTCATATAGCAAATGTACATACGTTAAAGGAGATAAATAATAAGACATCTCTTGTATCTGGTAATAAACTTGGGGATTTACCATCTAATCAGTCAAACTGAACTTAAAAATCAATTTGCATGTGCCAATTAAGATCGAGAAATTGCTATAAGCTATGGTAATCAGCTTAATAGTAGATGCGATTTATTAATAAAAATAATGAAAGGTTTTCAGAGCGTGTATGTCAGCTTGAAGATGAGGTGAGAGAACTCAAAAATAAGATTAATCAAAAAGAGATTTCTCTTGCAAGTGCTAAGAGCGAGATTGCTACAAAATTGGAAGAGATATAAGCAGCAGCAGGAAGGGCAGGCAGACCGATTTATTTTTACCTGAGAGCCTAATGATGATAGTTATCAAAATTCGTAATCCCAACCTTTTCTGCTACTAAAATGATTACTTATTAATTTTACCGTTCTAGGGCTCTCAAAATATCGTTCTAGTATATCAATAAAATTAGTATTCTTAAAACGTATTCTAGCTCCTCTTGCTCAATGAAATTACTAATTTATTTTCTTGCCTTCACACGCCTTCCTGATTATAATCTTGACATAATAAAAATTTACACCTAATGAGAAGCGTTTATAGATTACATTATTTTCGCTTGAGAACTTTAAGAATGATAGTTGACGAATATTGTTCTCTAGCCCCTCTTACTTATCAAAATTACTAATTTGTTTTCTTGCCTTTGCGCGCCTTCCTGATTATAATTCTAACATAATAAAAATTAACACCTAAGCAGATCGCTTTATTTTTCCCTAGGAGCCTAAGAATGATAATTATCAAAATGCGTCTCAATCTTATTTTCAAAGCATTCTAGCTAGACTTTTTTGAAAAAATACACCTAGCAAAGTAAAAATTTTCACCTGAGCGAACCAAGCAAGGAGAGCGGGCAGATCTTGGGTGAAAAAAAAGGCTATTATAGTGTAAAAAAAATCAGAATAGTATGCCTTTTTTCTCACTAGATTCGAAAAAAAAGCTAGGCTTTCTCAGCGATAGCTTCAAAGGAGGTTTTGTCCGCTGACAGCTCTAGAATCAATTCATCAATTTTCATCTGAATTAAATCATCAGTATTAGCCTTATTCTGAAGCCTATTAAAATATTGGGTTACATAATAACTATTAGCATGCTTTCTACAAAGGACGGGTTCAGAGCTAGTCGGCTTGCCACAAACCTTACAGGAAAAGCGAGGTTTAGCTTTCCAATGTTCAAAACACCCTTCAGGTCGATAACAAGTTCGCCTACAGACGTATTCAGTTATAAGTAAATAATTGCAATAATATTCACCTATCATGCTTGTTTCACAACTGCGAAGTGATTTTATAAACCAAAGGATAAGTTTATATAATAAAAAAATACACTATATTAACTATTTCTTCTGAAGGTCTTGACTGAAGGAGGGAAATAAATATTTTATTTTAAACGAAAGTTTTTGCTATATTAATACAAACATTCAATACTTATACAAAATGGTTAACTATAAAGATATTGAATCAGCATTAGTTGAGGTAATTAAAGTGACATATAGCCAAGATACGAAAAAATATGATAAAATGGGATTGATATATGTGGGCTATTTGAAAACAATGCAACATAAAAGGGATCCAGATGATCATTGCAGATATGTAGCAAAGCAACGAGCTCCAAATGAAGAAATTTATAATGAAAGAATGGCGGATTTCAAAGACTAGTATAATGAAGAAGTATATCAGAGTCTTGAAAAAATATATAAATTATATCTCTTATTCGCAAACCAAGAAGAGGTTGTACAAAAAAGATCTACAAAAGAAGTAAATGAAATACTTAAATTTCATAAATTAGAAATCTAATTCGTGAGCACCCATTGTGACGATAATTCTAAGTCAGGATGAATGATTTGAAGCTTTTCTCTTACAAAGGATCTTTTTGAACTATTGCCTTCATCATCTATTAGCCAGTACAAGTCTGGCTGATTTTTTTGCACTAGAGATTCACGAATATAATAAATTTGAGGAGACCAATTACAATCAGTTGCACGTCGTCTCCCACCTTCTAATTCACCAGGATTAAGCAAATATCTTACTAAGACA